GTCACAGGAATAATTTGCAAACCAAGTGCATATCCTCGGTGAGTGAGTCCACTCTAATTACTTTCCATTCACTGTATAAATGAGAAGAAACTGTGAGCATGCTGGTATGCCAGTCAAGATGAATTAATTGAAAGCCCATGCATATCATCGAAGAAGCATTGGATCAACTGGTTTCATGGTTTAGTTATTGACGATATGAGGGTAAGTGTTATGAATAAATTGCGTCAACAGTATAACATGAAGAAATTTATGTCAAACTCAACTCAAACGATCAAATTTCTAGTGGAGGAAATCATAGAGATAGACTAAAATTAAGCAATTGCTTCTATGGCACAATAAATTTAAGCTACTTCAAAAAGACTGAATAGCTATGTGATAATTGAACTTCATGTCTACATGGATAAACTCCCAGTGAATATGCCTGTATGCGTTTGCTAATTACTCGTGTACTGTTGGCGAAGTACACACCCTCCTTTTATATCAAAGTCAGTAATTAGAATCTCGGTGTTTAACAACAATCTGCGAAACAGGGAGAGAAATATTTATTGCCTGCATCACCATATAAAGAGGAGAATAGTGAATTTCAAATATCACAGTCACACAGTCAACATCCGAGCACTGAAGACATCGACAGTGTATACATGACCATATTTCATAGGAATGATGAATGAATGAATGAATGTAAGAGATACTTAGCAGGTGGTTACAGAGTGATACATTAGACTGTGAAGCACGAATGGGGTGTATTTTAACATGGCAGGCAGTTTGACGTGAGTCTTACATTTGTACATAATGATGATAAATTCGGCACAAATACACCACAGATAACATCGCTCTTTAAACACATCCGTCATTTCGATGCATGTGGTGATTGACAATTTCTATCTTTGTATTGTTTAAATACTTACTCTTGTTTGTTAATATATTTATTATTTTGATTTGAAATACACTTCCGCCAAATACAAATTCCTAAGTTAATCCCTCCCTGTGTTTTGGTTGAATTCCTGTAATTCGGTCATTGCGAAATACAAATACTACTATTACAAATAATAATCACAATGCAACAAAACTATATCCAATGTACACTGAAGTGAAGAGGGGTGTACAAAAGATGTCGTATATTAATGAAGTTAGTCTAGCCTGCAAAAATGTTTTGGAAATAAGTTGATGTTGTGTGGTTCACTGAGTAAAGCGGTGTGACACATAGTACAAATGTAAACTTGGATGGTGTGTGTGAAGTAAGAATACTATTTAATGAATAATATATGTGATGGTCAGCATAATGAGATGAATAAAATGATGGAAAGACAAAGGAATAAGAGAACTTTACTGTTTGGAATATATTTTACTCCTGTTGATGTGTACTCCATGTATTCGAAATAAAAGTCGCTGTAAACGAATAACAGTGACAAAACCAATAAGTGAGATTCATGCCATCCATACTCCTGGTTTCACATGAATTTCATTGTCAAAATAAAAGCCAAATTATTGAAAAATGTTAATAATAAACCCTTGATACAGCAGCTGATATGGCGATGAATATTCATGAAAGAACACCTGTCGTGTACTTGTGAAATCACTTTCTTGTTGCGTTCAACTTACATTGATAATCCTTTCACGAATGTTTTTACTTATCGAAGAGGCGTAAATTTTTACCCTCCTCACGCTTAATTTCCTCGGTGATGTTGTCAATTTTATTTGTCTCTTCATATTAATTGAATTCACAGGCGGATGTTTGTTGTCAGACTGTTCAAAAAGAAGCGGCTTGCACAAATGAGTCACAATTATCAGTTGTCATCTGGCCTCCATCAGCTCTATCCCAATATAGTGAAGGGAGCATCTCTTCACAATTCCTGAATACATACGGTGGATCAATTGTCATCTCTCCATTATATTACAGTAGAATTTCTCCTTACCACACACATATTCAAAAAATACTTCTTCTTTTTCTACAAGCAATTACATATCCTACCTTTCAATTTATCATAAATGCACACGTACATCAGTGATGATGTTCACTCCATGTTCAATGAGTGAAATTACATTTGAACTAAAGATGTATAACTCCTAACTAGAAATAAAGCACGAAAGCGCTTAGAAGTGATAAAAAGGCATACGATTGAACAGGAAGAAAAGTCTTACTCAGGTTCGCTGTAAACAAGAAACAGTAACAACAATAAAAAAGAAATATGAGTGAGACTGATGTCGTATTCTTTTCGTGAAATGCATAACACTGCAGAAATCAAAGACAAGCAAGTACAGAAACTTGAAATAAATCTTCATTTGTTTGGATAAGGTGACACATATTTCCTCATACTAAGCAAGTTAACTACTGCAGACTTTGAGGATAAGAGATCCATCTGTCCACCCTCGAAACCAATCCTACCTAATCCACCGAACATTTCTCATCTGGTGGTTGCTTAATACTTGGTGTGCCTGATGATCAGGTGTGAGGATGAATGAGTAGTCAAATTAGCGGGATCAATTTCATGAAGACAAAACTTCAGGTGATGGATGCAAGCGAATTCATGAAATGTTTCAGAGTATTGTGGTGATTGAGATTTTCCACCAAAAATCAAATCCTGAGCTGACTTGAAGTGAATAGAGAAGTATGCTATTGAATACAAAGGAAAATCTTACCTGATTATGCTGTTAGCAAATAAGAGTAAGAACAATCATGAGTGAGACTGAGTATTAGAATACTCAATTAAAAATGAATTTCATTACCAAGTCGAATCGACAGAGGTGTGGAAGATGCTGCTCCTCAGTTTGTTGGTTAATTTTATCAAGGAAACGGACTCTTTTTCAAATCATATAGGACAATTGATTAGTTGTTCGCAGGAATATGAAGTTTGTTAAAGTAACGTAACTGGTTGTATGAGTCTGTTCTGAATATTTCTGTGTGGCTATCAACAGCTTTTGCTGTAGGCGAAATACCTTCCATTTATTTTCCCATTTCGTATAAATGGAAATCGCCAAATAGATGTGTGTAATCAGGTTATTTGAAAAATTGGTTGTTCACATTCATCACATTTTTCAGAAATAATCCGTACTTCATTTAACGCAATCCAAATGTAGTTAAGGCAGTAACTGGTTTTGCCTTTTGAGGAAATGTGGAATTTGTGAATTCGTGTAGCATACCGCAATGTTTATCTGTCTATCTTACGCATATTCGACAAACAGGTGCTTCTTACATAGCATGACATATTCTACGTTTAAACTTTACTTCGTTAATACGTGCATAGATCATGATGCTCAATCCTTGTCATATTGAATAAGAGAGAATTCAAATAACCTAAAAGTTTAACAAGAAATTAAATACTCTACTGCTTCAACTTGCATGAAACAAAGCACACACTATTGCACAAGGAGGGAGAATTATCTTACCTAGCTTCGCTGTAAACAAATAATAATAGTAACAGTAACAGCAACAACAACAACAACAACAATGAAAAAGAAAGATGAGTGAGAATGATGTCGTATTCTCGGTGTGAAATGAATAACATTGCAGGGATCAAAGACAAACAAGCATAAAATCATAACAGTTCTTCGTTTACTTCAACATGAAGGCAAATGTGTGCGAATACAATTAAAGCATCCAAAGGAGACTAAGAGGATGAGGGATTCATCTGCATGCAAACTAATCCTATTCCACTGAACCACTTTCATCTAGCAGCAGTTATAAAACCAGTCATGTTTATTTCAAGACGCGTTGAATAAGGCAGAATGAATGATAACATTATCAACATTGATTGCATGAAAATGAGGGAATCTCAAACTAATGAGATGTTCAAGAAAGACATTTGTGATGAATAACACACTTTCTGTCACCGTAGTGTGTGTATATCTTCACTGTTGTTTGTGTCTATTTATTGTAAACGCACAATACAAATAATTCTGCAGAATGAGAAATTTCGACTTCTGTCATCCGCATGTTGCTAGATCGTTTTTGTGATACTCGATCAGTAGAGGTTGAGATTACAAAACAAAAATATCAGAATGAAATTGGAAATGCTTTGGCGTTTTCAGCAATATAAAAATAGTCAAGATAACGAAAGTGAGTGAGTGTAGGGCCTTATTCTCCTGAACAGCCTGTTTGCCTATCATAGGTAAATCTCAATGACACTTTTATTTGTACGCAAAATACGAACTAATCAATTCAAATAATAATAATGATCAGACAGAATGAATGAGATAAAAGCCTTTGTAAGTATCATTATTGTGTTAATTAACCACAAGATCTGCTCTAATAGAGAGAAGTTACTCTCATGATTTCAGTGAAACTACTACTACTACTTCATGATTATTTCTAAACAATCTTTCTTCGTCAGTAAATATGCTGTCTGACCTGTTGATGATGATACAGATGAATTGAATGATTGTCAACACATTCATTAGCATGAGATCCATTCGAAATCGTGTATTGCCACAAGAAAGGCTACATATTTTGGTGTGTGCCTCGTCAATAGACGAGGACCCAAATGAAAGATAAGTAGGTATTTGCTTAATTTATCGTCTTTGAAACCAAGCAGCTGGAGAAACAGAGGTAATATATCATACCGTAAATCAATGCACATGTATACGCGAATACACATACATAAAAAACATGACCAAATGGATATGTCCAGTCAGATTCGTCCAAAAGAAGAGTCTCTAAAATGCCTCATATTGTTCATATATAATCCATTCTTCATTAACACCATACAGATGTATTCAAAAGACCGACTGTTTTCGAAGACATGGTGTGCATTGTTTTGTGATGTCTTCATTATATTACAGCGAGATTTCTCCTTATCTTACACATACATATTCAAGAAATATTCCCTTTCTTGCATATACAATCACATCTTCTACATTTCGGCTAGGCATAAGTAATGATGTACATTCTTCAACTTAATGAATCGACATACAATTAACCTAATAGTCTACAACTCTTAACTAGGAATTCATTACTAATAGTGCTTTGAAATAAGCCCACGATTTCATATAGGCAAAAAATCTTACCCAGTTTCTACTGTACTTTCTTCTGTAGGCTGAATACTACGTGGCGCAATACTTTTGAAACTCATCAGAGGTTTTTCGAAAAACATAACTTCATTTTTGCGATCCATCAGATACAATTTCTGTTCTCCACCACCAGATTCTTCCAAAAAAACTATCCGACCTCCTACTTTTAATTCTTCTCTCACCTAAGTTATCCGGAGCGAATGAATCACACAATAAAAAGTGATTATTATTTTATTATATGGGAATCTTGAATGACTGATGCAAAATAAATAATGTCACGGACAGTTAGATTCATATGGGATTTCCCGTGAATGTATCTCGTGATACAGATAAAAGACTATTCAGTGAATAAGGTATCGTCTACTGATGAAGTCATATTCATATTCAATAAAAGATGCTTATTCATTTCTCGAGCATTTCATGAATCCAGGTCAAGCAAATTGAATGTGCTCCTCCCTTGAATTCGTTTATACTGCACATCCAGACTGTGAAAGGGGTGTTAACTTTCAAGACTTGTGGATGATGTAGGCTCTAGCAATTCGTCAGTTCATCTACAAACCCTGTTAACAGAGAAGCTTTCTTCAACTTCCTCATCATACAGTGGTCTCAATTTCCTTTCTACTTGTTCGCCTCTAGTTTCACTTCGCATTTCACAGTTATTACTCCTACGTACTCCTTTTACCAACTTTACTATTCAGTTGATTGTATTCTCACCTTCATCACACTTGTCAAGTGTACACTTAACCTAATATTTCTGATTTCTGATCATAACTTGATTCCACACCGTATTATTGGTGCAAGTATGGAATTTTCAGTATGTGATATTGGTAGCCCAAATTTTGCAGGCCGACCAATTGATATCAGGTGTGCGTCGGCTGTGGACCGAACCCGGACCATGTGCATGGTCGGATAGAGCCCTAACCGCTGTGCCACCAACGCACATATCCAATAATTTTCACCTGAATTAATTTCAAGCCATCACTTCCACTATTTCGTTGGTAATTACCTAAGATTTCTGAATATTTGGAAGTGTTTGTCAATTATGTCACAACCCCTGTACAAAATACTCAATATCGTCATGAAATGCAAAATGGGAGAATATACAAATTAGTGGATGTTACGAAACCTAGCTGCATTAAAGTTACTCTTGTGTCTAATCGAAACCAGTCAAGGATAACGGAACACGTAACGGTGAAATCATTTATGGAGAGCACCAAGGTGAGATATACATGGCAGACTATTGGACATCATCATTCCGTAAATCGGACAAGTGGTTCATTCTCACCTAAAATATCTTCATTCTACTGTATTAGTTTCTCACAGAAATGAAGATGGCACTACCTGAATAATGACAGTTTGTATTTACAAAGTGTAAGTGTGATGAGTGACTGACTGTTTGCATAACTGTACTGTGCAAATATTCACTGTCATTTGTTTTTATTTCATGTAAATATACAATACAAATATTCACGAGCAGTATGAACTCCTGATTCTTGTCATCTGCGTCCTCTGTCCAGCTGATTTACTATTATTCTGCCATTGCTCATTAAAATCGCAAATAAATATGACATTTGAATAAGTAGACTTACTGGAAATATGATACTTCTATCCAGTACATGCAAATAAATAGCATCATACTTTGGATTCAATGACCAAGGTTTAAGATCACTAACTGATCTGAATATAATTTGTGTCCCCAACGTGAAGACCTTTTTAGTGTATTGTAGCCACTTAGCGAAATTCCCCAAAGCCGCTTCCATTAAATTATTATCAGGTAGAGTGGATTCTGTCCTACCACTAATCCCAGACTTTGAGAGGTAGGAAAACAAAAGAAGAGACATGAGTGTGTAGATCACTTAGATATATACTAAGCAAATCAATATCAACCTGATGGTCCATTGTATGGAAAGTAAATCAACCAGTAAGCTATCTGGAAAGAGATTATAACAGGTGGTGAGTGGAACCTAATGACCAAAGAGGAGAAAAGAAAACTCTAGGCTGAAGTCTTCAAAACGCTTGAATCAACCACCACTCGAAACTTACCTGAAATATCACTAACAGCATCAGAACTCCCAGTGAACACCGGTCCTTCGAAGTAAACAGAAGTCGCTAACACCAGCGATGAGAATCACTGAAAACGCACTTAAAGACCTAGTGTATATGCTCACGCCACATTTGCATAGCGTTTGAAGGACATTGTAAAATACTTCTAAAGCAAATAATTATAACATTGCTCCAAGCAAACTATTAAGCCGAATCATCCTGGAGAATCTAAGGTTGCTCCGGACATAAAACTCTCACTGAATTGAGCTGCATAATGGATACGATTTTATTTAAATAAATCACACAGTGTTGTACAGCTAAATTAACTGATGACGTTTCGAGCAATAGTTTGTGCACATAAACATGTTACCTATTGTATGCATCTATTCATTATGGCTTCTTTACATGTTTCCTAGCTGTATCTTTGATTCTCAAACCGCAGGACTTTTACGCAAAGCTTCACTTTAAAAATTCACTTCAGCTAATCAGGACATCCAAGTTAATATAAACCGAATTCTTTTACTTCACTATGTTAATAAGATAAGCAGAGTGAGATAAGGTCCATAATTCTGTAAACATGACGAAATTTTGGATAGGATCATAGGTCTTGTTACGGAGGTTTTCGTAATCCTCCAATCTGAATATACAAAAGATTGTTGATGGGATGAGTTAAAAGACAAAATATAATTGTCAGAAGGTATTGGTAACAATTAGAGATGAGCAATGGTTGAACTCAATGGATGGAAACCCGCTGGTCATTTTGCATTCTGTCCATGAATTTAAATTCATTGTATTATGATATTAAAACATTCAACGCCATCCTTAATGAATCTGTAGATGAAAATGTTGTTGTTGTTGTCAACGAACCTCAACTAACTCCAAGCTTCGAATGGCAATATTCTGGTCAGCTTAGATATTCATGAAACTATGCTCCAAGACTTTCTGGTAGTGTGAACCATGTGAAACGCTATGATTAAAATTGCACTTCACTACAATAGACTCACCATAAACGTTACACAAGCTGAGAGGTATCCACTACCCCGCTCCATAATTAAAGAGTGTGAACTGTCTTTGATGTAGTCATGCAGTGCTTCCAGAATAGTTGCCTCCTGGATCACAGAAAATGAAAGGGTAAATATTTAGTGTGCGCATCGAATTAAAGGAACACAGAAGTGCATCTGTGGAGTCTGCAACAATTTGACTGAACAGCTCTCTCTTAGCTGTTGATAAGGAAACACTATAGATAACTCTTATCGAAAACAATTCATTGTAAAATATATATAACACACCCATCCAATAATATCATCGAATGCAAAGTTCAAACTCACCAACATAATTCAATTCACAATTCATAGCCACAATGCTCTACCTGTTTATTCTCATGAAATTCACACTTTAGTTACTCATTGAAGTCAAATTTACATGAAGTGAACGTAACGCATATCACAGATCGAGTATCAAAGAATTCAGCAAACACTGAAGTGAAATCGAAAACTCCGGACTGTTTCAGGTGAACACATGGTTGAATAAACATGCCAATCACCAGAAAGCCATCAGACACGTGTACGATAAGCATGGTTTATCACTAAGTAAACTATGCAGTATCGAATAAATATTGATAAACTTGTATAAACTGCCCAAGCACTAGCAGTGCATACCACTTACCACTCATGAATGTTTGATGAATTGTTCTGAGGAAGAGGTGCATTTCCAGGCCGTTATCTTCCCCAACCTTTGTTTCGTCAATCCGATTTATGACCCTTAGTAATGAACCCAACTTCTGTTTGTTAACTTTCATCTGCTTTTTAAACTGCACATGTCCATTATTTTTATTAAAACTAATTCACTACTGATCGACACATGGCATTTAATCAACGTGACATACAGAAATCTCTGCCTCACTATGATTCGTAGTAATAAAATCTACTGAACTTACGACAAGTGGGGGAAGAATTATGGCATCGGATTTCGTTGACATTGAACAAATTTTATAAGGGTTGGTCTCAACAAAACAACCACGATCCACATTCTGCATGGCTTTTTTGACATGCGAAGATTTTACAAACCCTTTCTCTGTATTGAAACCTGTAGTAAACTTCAGCTACTAATTACCCTCTAGTTTTGTTATCATTTCTGTATTTTCCCCTTCATTTATTCGACAGGCGGAAACGCTGCAAATAAAAAGTGAAATGGTGATTATGACAGAGATGTTTCTGAAGTAAGTGAATATATTCATGTCTTCTGTGATACAACTACACGGAAACGCAAGTAACAAAGTCAAAATACCGCCTTCAATATACAATCCAATATCCAATATCGTTTTTACGAGCTAGTATAAACCAATTTGATTTCTTTGCGCTCGCCTCTTGATTGTGAGGTAGAGGTTCCTGATATTTGGTAAACGTCTGTGTAGCTCGTCCCGCCACTCGACTGCCGTAGCTTTGGTTGACTCCAACAGGAGTAGTGCTGGGATTAATTATATGGCGTCTGTCGTATGAAGTGTGTTAAGACTGTTACTACTGTGAATGGAGTTGATCCTTTCACCAGTTAGTCTTTCGGTATCGTCGTCAATGGAAAAGAGATAATAATAATAATAGATATAATTAGTAAAGGTATTCAGACTAACAGACAGAGAAAAAAATAAGAAAACGTAACAACAGTCAGTCAACCGGTATACATATATATATATATATATACCAGTAATAATGATAATAATAATGATAATAATAATAATGATAATAATAATAAGTGTAGTTAAAGCTGTCAGGATAGTAAGACTGAAGGGAATGTGAAGAAGTAAAACGACCAGTTTAATTGTCTACCTTTGAATGGTATATGCGATTTTAAGGGGATAGGCCATTTGGATACAGTCCTTGTGTCGCTGCAAGGTTGTCCAGCCTTCGCTTAAAGGCGTCCACAGATGGTGCCATAGCTACATCTGCCGGTAAGGAATTCCAGGGACGGCAAACCCGCAGGGAAAAGAAGTGGGAGCGCACCCGGGTCCTTGCCCTCTGATGAGCTATCCTTCTGGGATTTCCACGAGGGAGCCTATACCTACTCAATGGCAGAACACCTTTGTTTGGGTGATTCTGATCATTTGTTATTTTGTAGGCAGTAATTAAATCCCCCCTCAGGCGACGGTAACTGAGTGTGAATAGGCCTAATTTCTTCAGCCTTTCGTCATATGGTTTATTTCGGAGACCAACCACTCCTTTTGTTGCCCGTCGTTGGGCTCTTTCCAAGAGGTTGGCGTCTCTTCTAAGCAGTGGGGGTGCAATGATATTATGCACTTCAAGATGCGGTCTGACGTATGTTTTATACAACCTTAGAAAGAGCTCAGGAGTGAGTGCACATAATTGTCTATGTGTAAAGTGTATGACGGCATATGCCCTCGCTACATCCCCCGTGTAATTCACGCTTGTGTCCATTTTCTCCGTTAGAACTAGACCTAAGTCACGTTCCGACGTTGAGCAGGACAAGCTTTCATTGCACAGGGTGTAACTTGCATTCTGCAGTCTACAGGTACGTAACTTCACTACTTTGCACTTTTTCAGGTTGAAAGTCATTCCACTGGTTACCGCCCAGTCTTCCAGAAGCCTTAGATCTGCCTGCAGCCTATCTGAGTCCTCCGGACACTTTATCGCCCTCCATATCTTTACGTCATCAGCGTATAGAAGAGTCGGGCAGTTTAGACGGCATGGTAAATCATTGATAAAGATCAAGAACATCAGTGGTCCTAGGATAGAACCCTGCGACACTCCTGATGACGAGCTGTGCCAAGATGATCGGACTCGATTGACCTTGGTGCAAAATTGCCTTTCAGTTAGGTAGTCCTTCAACCATGACAGAAGTGGTTTACCTAGACCTACCTGGCTTATTTTGTGTAGGGGAAGGTCATGGTGAACAGTGTCAAATGCCTTATCAAAGTCTAGAAAGATCACATGGACAGGAACATTCATATCCCAGCATGATGTCCAATCGTCCCAAGCTGATAATAAGTTAGTGACGCAGGATCTTCCTTTCCTGAAACCGTGTTGGGCTTCATGGAGTATTTTAGACCTATCCAGATATTCCCTGATGTGATCATCAATAATACTTTCCAGTACTTTCGATACCACTGGGAGTAGAGCTACTGGTCTATAACTGGTAGGATTTTGCCTATCCCCACCCTTGAAGATCGGAGAAAGGATGCTTCTTTTCCATTCCTTTGGCAGTTTCCCCGATTCCATGGAGTGTTGGAACAAGTCGCATAAAGGTCTACAGAGAGCTTCGGCGCACTGTTTCAGAACAGATGGCCTGATGTCATCACAACCTGGGGACTTCCCAGGTGTGAGTCGCTGCAGCTTTCTCAGTACTATTGCAGGGTTTATTTGAGGGGTGGCTATTTGGTTTTCCTCCTGTGAAATAGTCATGCCACCATTTTGGTTCGTAACGGTAATACCCACATTGCTGTTTAGCTGTTTGGCGAAGGCTAAACTGAATGTTTCAGCCATCTCCAGACTAGTGAGATATTGACCGTTTTGGCCTACTAAGGCGCAAGCCCCTTGGTTGGTTGGTTTCCTTTCCGACATGAATCGGTACAAATTCTTCGGGTTTGCCAGGAGTTTTTTAGCAAGGTTAGCCTGGAATGACCTTCTGTCCCTCCTGACTCTTGCATTGTACCGGTTCCTGAGTTCCAGGTATGCATCATGGTCGATCTGGCTTCTAGATACGCGCCACGTAAACCAAGCCTTCCTCTTTGCTTGCAGAATACGCTGCGTGCCTCTCTTTAACCATGATGATTTTCTTTTTGGCTGTGCTGTGACTAAAGGGACGGTATCCGAGATCGCTGTATGAATAATCTCTTTTACCGCTTCCCAGTGTTCATCCACAGACAGCTCATCCCATGCTAAGGGCCAGTCTGCGTCGGACAAGAGCCTCCGCATTTCAGCGTAGTCAGCCCTGCTGTAACACAGACATGGTTGCGTAGCGTCCCACTGCAAGTGCTCACGAGGAACGAGGTCGAAACCTATGACTGCATGGTCACTACTTCCTAGAGGAGTCATGACCTGGACCTTTTCGACGAGTAGTTGGTCACTAGTTAGAATGTAGTCTAGTTTTGATGACTTTCCACTAGGGCCTCACCTAGTGTCGTCTCCAACATTCTCAGTCAGTCCCGTGTCCCGAATAGCTTGCAGCAGATTTCGGCCGAATTTTCCCTTAGCATACCCCGAGCCAAGGTTCAGTGATGGGGCATTGAAATCTCCAGCAATGGTGATTTGGTCATAGCCCAAGTCTCGTATCCCTGTGATAGTGCTGAGCAGTAGCTGATTGTGCTCTGCCCCACAGGTGGGAGATCGGTAGATGCCACCAAGTAAATGCTTGGTGTGGCCTACGGTGAAATGACACCATATGGAGTCTGGGAGTTCAATAAGGGGTGGGTCCTTTGCGCGAACACATTTAGGTTGCCTATCAAAGTATATGGCAACTCCCCCTCCTTCCTTATTATCCCTGTCTCTCCTGACCAAAACCATATCACCTATACTGATTTCATTATCGGCGATAGTGGGGGTTAGCCATGTTTCGGTGAGAATGATTATTTTCAGTTGTAGGTGTGCTTGGAGATTTCGGAGTTCACCTATTTTTACTCTCAGCCCCCTCACATTGCTATACAGGCAGCTGACAGTGAGTCTTACAACCTCAGCGTGTTGTGGGGTAGTTGACGTGAAGCTGTCTGCTGGTAGGGAACTTAGTGTTGGGACTAATTGGCCAGTTCCGATGGAACCGGCCCATTGTGGTTTTTTCCCTTGGATTTAGGCAGGACACTTGGGTGGCACAGACTGTTATTCTCAGAACTGCATCGCTCGAGTGTCACTGAAGCTTGGGGACGTATTAAAGCCTCCGTTTGCTGCCTCCTTATGGTTCGAGGTCTGCTTTCGCAACATCGGATGTGTCCTCCCAGTTTCCCCTTGATCTCATACCACCGTTGAAGTGTTATGGCCAACTGCTCTGGGGAGTTGAATGTGACACTTAGCAGCTTTGCGGAGCTAATCAGTGTGAGATGAGCGGGGCGAGGTAGTCGGTAAACGGAGATGGCTCCAGAAGCGCCAAGGGCCATCTGAGACGACAGCCATCTCCACTGCTGTACGTCATGCATGTGTTTTTCACAGGCAGTGCCCGTTTCCAGCTCCGGGACACCGTGCACTACCATAGAGGTGGAAGGCCCAAGTTCCGGTGACTCCCTTGCCATTTGTCTGACAGCCCATGGTCTGTCTTGTCTCACCCTTATGTTAGAGCTTCTGTCGATGGCTAGTGCCTGAGCCATCAATAGTACCTTTTCGGCCTCTTCGGCAGAGTCCAGTGTAACCCGTAATGGGGGTGGCTTACCTTGAGGTGTGTGGACACCCCTGTACAGCCTGCACAATTTCACTGAACTAATATTCAGACCTAGTTTATTGCACAGGTTGGACCACTGTTCCTGATCAAACAGGGACCGCTGTTCAAGCAAGCTGTCCTTGCTCACAGGTACGTTAAAGAGGATGAGCGAATTAGACCGATTAACCTCAGTCTTAGGTTTGGTCTTTGGCTTCTCGTATTCCTTTGCAGCATCAGCAACTTTAGGCTTCATCGGGTTCTGGCCAGCCTTTATTGTGTTGCCAAGCTTGCTTGTGGATGCAAGTGGTGCTTCTCTAACTCTATCTTTCCTTAATGTTTTAGGTCCAACCTTGTGAATCTTCACCTTGTGAAAATTGGCATTTTCGGTCAGTAGGACTGGAGTGTCCTTCTTACTGTCTATGCCAAGTTTTGGCAATGTGATGTTAGCAGGTGGGGAGCTACATAAGACCGTGTTGGGACACAAGGGTGGCGTGAAGTTTCTGCTAACCGCAGACACGCTCTGTGTGACTACACCAGGGCGACAGAGTGGACAGATGTACCAAAACCACGGGCACGGGTTATTTCTCATAAACTCGTAGTATGATTTCGGTACCTCTTTGTCGCAACGGCAGTGCACCCACCGTTTGCAAAAATTGCATTCGAAAGCTGAGTCAGCTTTAG